TGGTAGTTTCGAACCGCTGACCTTAAGGTTCGCAGCCCGATTCGTAACCACTACGCTACCAGAGCTCCTTCCCCTACAATATATACACACATATACAATATATACACACATATACAATATATACACACATATACAAATGATATCTAGAACTTACTCACACCAAGATGGGAAATTACAGCTTTCTGGGTTGGAGCAAATGGTAACCCTGCCCGTTCTCTACCAAGAAACAAAATTGAAATCCACTGCATTTTAGCTGCAAGCAGAGTGTGGGTGACCCAGATCTGTGTGCAGATCTAGGTCCCACGAAACTAACCATGCAGCAGTGGTCTTAATACCTAATATCTTCATACAACGTACAAGAGACTTCATATTTCAGAGAGTTCATAGTGAGAACTGCAAAGTCGGCGTTTCAAGCTCCCCAGCTGCTCCTCGGAAACCCTGTACAGGCCGCTATGGGTTGGTACCGACTTGACAGCACTTAACAACAACAAATACAGTTAGAAAGTGAACTGAAGGACAAATCTGAGGAAATCACCCAGAATGCAGTTGAGACTGAAATGGAAATCCTAAAAGCGAGATTAGAAATCTGAATGAGAAGGTCTAACATATGCCTGACAGGAATTTCCACAGTAAAGAGAATGGCAGAGAGGTACCAAGTCAAAGCCCCAGAAAACAGAGCTTTAGTGATCTATCTATCTGTTTGCTCCCTCCAAGGTCACAGAGCTAGCAGGCTTAAATCCAAATTTTAGGCTTTTTACGATATGTTGCACCACCCAGAGAGTCCAGACGAAAAACTCAATTGGCACAGACACTTCATTAGGCTCAAATCACATGAACCCTGCTTCTCAAACTGGGATGTACAAACGCCTGGGAACAGGCAGTGGTGATATGCAGAATGAGCAAACTTATAGACCAAGCACAGTATTCCTCCCCCCAATTCCCACCCCCACCCCCAGCGTTAATGTTACACAAAGGTTTCACGGGGATTAGTCCAGCAAATTAGCTGGCATATCTAAGCAGCAAAGCAAATATCACTATGTTTACCTAAGTAGAACTTTAAATTTGTAAGATAAAGAACTTAATTCCCAAAACCCAAAACCTGATTTTGTGCCATGTGACTGCTGGCAAACTTCTAGATCCTTAAGGTGTTGCTCTCCTTTGCCTAAGCTAGATCCACTCCTCACTTATCAACATGATTAGGTTCAAAAGACCGGGTCAGTAAGTGAAAATTAGCATTATGCAAAAATTGAGGATGACCACAAGAGACCACAAAATGGAGAGTGACTACATCATTACACGATTGCCAAACACTATCATTACATCACTGCAAAGCACTGAGAATGAGAGCCTAGTCAAGCTGACATAAACCTCAGCCATCAGTCAGTCGTACTATCACTGAGCACACCTCGGTATTCATTACTACCACAAGAATACTGTAAATGCACAAAATAACCAGACACAAGTGTTTCCTACTACTATCATAAATGCAAAATACTAAATTAGATAAGAAGTAGGTACGTGCAAAAATATGGCACCAACCATTCTTCCCAGACACTCTCTTACTTTTCATGTGGGTTCAATAATCTTTTGTAATGGCCATACAGAACTCAGAGACAATACTCACAGTTATGGGCTTATTAAAGAAGTTAACGGGTTATAATACATGAACAGAAAACATTCAGGGCTCAGTTGTTCCAGTCAGCTGCTGAGAAATGCCCACAGGACACATCATATTACCACAAGCCTTAGCCTGAAGGTCCATGGTTCTAGTTTCCCCACTTAAGTGCCTGGGCGCCTCCCACTCTACAAGCAAGCTTCCTGCCCAAAGTCACTCCGCTGTACGTGCGCCGTGGACAGGGCAGCCCACTGCTCTGTCTCATGCTCTGGTTCTTGGTTCTGCGGCTAGTGTTCCTCTGCCCCTCCTCCACTGTCACAGCTTTCTGTTTCTGGGTCGAAGAAGTTCAAGGTGCAGGGATCTCTGCATCCCAAGAACACACTCCACTCCTGGCTCTTTCTTTTTGATGGTAGTGAGATTTCCCCCATCCTGCCTCCTGCTTCTGAGATGGTTCATTTTATGCCTATGCTAGAGCTTGTCTGGAGGAAACAGTCGCTGGAGAAGGATGTCATGCTGGGTAAGGTGGAGGGTCGAAGAAAAAGTGGAAGACCCCTAACGAGATGGATTGGCCAGGTGGCATCATTGATGGACTCAAGTGTGGCAGCGGTGGTGAGGTTGACCCAGGATCGGACATTGTTTCGTTCTGCTGTGCATGGGGTCGCTATGAGTCGGTTCCGACTCGATGGCACCTGACAACAACAACAACAACAGAGCTTGAAGTTTTGACAATTACAATCAGCTCTGCTGATATCCACAGCTGAATTGTGTCACCCTATCAGCATCTTCTCTCAATTTCTATGACCCAGGCGAGCAGCACAGAAATGTTGTTTGGTGGGAGTTACAGACTGCGGCTAGAAGAGACATTAAACAATTCCCTACACCACAGTAATGTTAAGGCTAACTCTAAAAGCACTGTTAATGGCACTAATAGCTTTATTAACAACGTGTGGATTACGATAATTCTCAAAAAAAAAGGTTTGTTTAACAGTAACAATAAAAGACGGTTTGCAGAACATACTATGTTTCTTTACTCTGAATTTAAATGTATTATTTTGTGAAGAGCATGACAAAAATATTGGGATAGTGAGGCGAAAAGCTGGGTCGAGAGAGGCAAAGAAGGACACGGTTCTCTCTTACCCCATTCTCTTCGGGTTGCTCTGAGGTTCTGGTGGTCTGTTCTACAAAAAGCTTCTCCTAGAAAGCTACTTTATCATTACCATTGCCTTGTCTTCACCATTATGAGCTAACAGCCATATATATGAATCAGATTAGTGAGTTACAAATAATTTGTTGCTGTTGTTGTTGTTGCTAAGTGCCCTCAAGTCAGTTCTGAGCCATAGCGACCCTGTATAGGGTTTCCGAGGAGCAACTGGTGAGTTTGAACCGCTGAAAACCGACTTTGCAGTCTAGTGCATTAACACACAGCGCCACATCAGGGCAGACCTGAGTAGTAATAACTAAAACAGAAGTCAGCAGCAGAGTATCAGGGTGCTCAGTGGTCAGGGACCTTGTATCCTACTGCTCCACCGTGCGTGATGTCCATTCCTCACCATGACCCAAGATGGCTTAATCTACACCGGCCATCACATCTTCATTCAAATCTGCAGGGCAGAAGTCCAAGGTCCTTTCTGACTGCTTTCTAAATTGCTACCTGAAAGCTTGCCCATACCACTGGCCAAAACTTAGATCATACCTGGCTGCAAAGGGAACTAAGAAACGTGGTCTACTCTTGACACCCAGGTTGTTGTAAGGTGGTGTTGAGTTAGTTCCAACTCACAGCAGCCCCATGTAAAACAGACTGAACTAATGCCTGGGCGTCCTGTGCCGTCCTCACAATCACTGCTGAGCCCGTGATGGCAGCCACTGGGCCAGTGCTTCTTGTTGAGGGCCTTCCTCTTTGTCACTGACCCCCTCTCTACTTTACCAAGCATGATGTCCTTCTCCAAGGAATGGTCCCTCCTGATAATATGTCTTAAGGACAGGAGATGACATCTATCATCCTCACTTGTAAGGAACATTCTGGCTATACTTCTTCCTAGACAGATTTGTTCAATCCTCTGGCAGCCCAAGGTTTTTAATATTCTTTACCAACCCCATAATTCAAAGGCAGCAATTCTTTTTCAGTGTACCTCATTTACTGTCCAGCTTTCACATGCATATGAGACAACTGAAAAGACCATGGCTTGGGTCACACACACCTCAGTCCTCAAAGTGACATCTTTGCTTTTAACAATTTAAGGCGGTCTTTTGCAGCAGATCTGTCCTGGTATCCATGAGGTCGACTAAAAATTAGAAGCGGAGCAATGGGTAGTCCTTGCCACACCAAGTTTGAGTAAATATATGCCTCTTCTGCTTGAGATGATGGAACAGCGAGTTTGTTTTCCATGTCCTATCTTTTAATTCCTTTCTTCCACTTAGCTCAGGGAGAACTGTGCCCAGATAAACCAGTGGGCTTAATTAACAACATGAGAATTGGCAGAAATATTGGTAGACTTACCAAGACATCCTCCCCTTTGAATATAAGAAACAGGATGCTTAAAACATGTGTTATTAATCATAGAGCTAAAAGAAGGAAGAAAATAACTATGGCTGCTCTACAGCAAGAATCTGCCTGCTCTCCTGATGTGACTAAGAAACTGAAATTAAGAGAAATAACAGCTTGGATTTAAACTGCACCTTTCTTTAATGGGACTAAAATTTTTCAAATATATAGTAATATGCCATTCTGTTTCCAAAACATACCCTAATGACAAGATTAACTGACATTATCTATACATTTTAATGCCTTCTTTTTTAATATTCAATTTGCTAAAATATGAACATATAAATGCACGCAAAGACTGAAAAAAAATGAGAAAAATGCAAACAGTTGATTTGGTACAATGGTAATTTCTTCTTTAATCTTCATAATTTACGGTGCTCTTTGTACAATGTTTTAAGATGTTATACACAGTCGCAAACACACTTCTTAGACATGTAATATACATGCAGTAGGTTGTTGTTAAGTGCCACTGAGTCGGTTCCGACCCATAGCAACCCTGTAAAGGGTTTCCAAGGAGCAGCTGGTGAGCTTGAACCACCAACCTTGCAGTTTAAACCGACCTGGCAGTCCAGTGCATTAACCCGCAGCACCACACCAGAACTCCACTGTACCAAATCGAACAGTTAATTTGGTACAATGGTAGATTACTTTTTAATCTTCATAATTTACAGTGCTCTTTGTACAATAATGTTTTAGGATGTTATACATACAGTCACAAACATACTTCTTAGACACCTTAAGTGCATGCAGTATACTGTATGACAGAAGAAACAGATGGTATCACAAAGAATTATTGGCGCCTTCTCTCCCCGCCATGGCTTGTGCTCGTCCACTGATATCAGTGTACTCTGAAAAGGGAGAATCTTCTGGCAAAAATGTTACTTTGCCTGCTGTGTTCAAGGCTCCCATTCGACCGGATATCGTGAATTTTGTTCACACCAACTTGCGCAAAAACAACAGACAACCCTATGCCGTCAGTGAACTAGCAGGTCACCAGACTAGTGCTGAGTCTTGGGGTACTGGCAGAGCGGTAGCCAGAATTCCCAGAGTTCGAGGTGGTGGGACTCACCGCTCTGGCCAGGGTGCTTTTGGAAATATGTGTTGTGGAGGGTGCATGTTTGCACCAACCAAAACCTGGCGTCGCTGGCACCGTAGAGTAAACACGACTCAGAAGCGCTATGCCATCTGCTCTGCCCTGGCTGCTTCCGCCTTACCAACCCTGGTCATGTCTAAAGGTCATCGAATTGAGGAAGTTCCTGAACTTCCTTTGGTGGTTGAAGATAAAGTTGAAGCTTACAAGAAGACCAAGGAGGCAGTTTTACTGCTTAAGAAACTTAAGGCCTGGAATGATATCAAAAAGGTCTATGCTTCTCAGCGAATGAGAGCTGGTAAGGGCAAAATGAGGAATCGCCGGCGTATCCAGCGCAGGGGACCATGCATTATCTACAATGAGGACAATGGTATCATCAAGGCCTTCAGAAACATCCCTGGAATTACTCTGCTTAATGTAAGCAAGCTGAACATTTTAAAACTTGCTCCTGGTGGGCATGTGGGCCGTTTCTGCATTTGGACTGAAGGTGCTTTTCGAAAGCTGGATGAGTTGTATGGCACTTGGCGTAAAGCTGCTTCCCTCAAGAGTAACTACAACCTTCCCATGCACAAGATGATCAATACAGACTTAAGCAGAATCTTGAAAAGCCCTGAGATCCAAAGAGCTCTCCGAGCACCACGCAAGAAGATTCATCGCAGAGTCCTTAAGAAGAACCCACTGAAAAACCTGAGAATCATGTTGAAGCTGAATCCATATGCAAAGACCATGCGCCGAAACACTATTCTTCGCCAGGCCAAGAATCACAAACTCAGGGTGGCTAAGGCGGCAGCAGCCCTAAAAGCAAAATCAAATGCGAAGGAAGTTCCAGGCAAGAAACCACCTGTGGTAGGGAAGAAAGGAGGGAAGCAGACTGTTGGTGTGAAAAAGCCGGTGGTGGGAAAGAAGGCTGCAGCAAGCAAGAAACCAGCAGCTGAGAAGAAGAAACCAGCAGAAAAGAAGCCTCCCACAGAAGAAAAGAAGCCTGCTGCATAAATTCTCCACATTTGTTTAGCCCAAACAAGTCAAATAATTTTGGACAGCGTATTTTGAATAAAGACAGACCTGGTCAAAGAGGCAGTAAGAATTAAAAAAAAAAAAAATTATTGGCTATTATCTACTAGCTGTGTGACTTTATGAAAATGATCTTCTTTAAAATAAGGATCACAGTACTAGGTCATTTACTTTGTTGGTGTGTTCTCAGTTTCAACAGTTCCCATCTCTTGTCTATATTATATGTGATTCATATCCTGCCAGCTATATTTTCCAGTCTTCCTTGCTGCTGACTTCACGTTAGGGTCTGACAATGGGAGACGCTGACAGGAGACTGGAAAAGAATGAAGCAGCTACTTTTCTGCCTGCTTCAGTGGGATCCCTGGAAGAAGTACCCATGGGTCCAATGGCTTTCTGCTCAAGCAGTATGGGTCTCATGGTGGTGGAGCCAGTAGGTTCTCTTGCAATGTAACACACACAAAGACGTCCATCACTGTGCTATTCAGAATAGCAAAAACAACAAAACAACTGACAACAGGACGATCCATATTATTGTTGTTGTTATGTGCCGTTGAGCAGATTCCAAGCTATAGCAACCCTGTACAGGGTTTCCAAGGAGCAGCTGGTGGGTTTGAACTACCAACCTTGATGTTTAAAGTGACCCTGCAGTCCAGCACATTATCCATAGCTACACCATTAAAACTGCAGCTATGAAGAAATGCTAAGGGCATGGAAAATACTATACAATCTTGTAAGAACAAGACAAGATAAAAATCTACATACTGTCAACAGAATGACATCAATGATGTGGCATGTGGGAGATGTAGAATCCAACTATATTTCATTTAAGATATATACAAGAGGTGTGGCCCAGCCAGACAGAAATAGAAAAGAATAGAAAATACAATCCAAGAGAAGTGAGCAATATAATTGGAGGAAAACAGCTCAACCCAAGTGGAAAGTTCAAAGGTTGTGCTTACACTATGCACTGGAGTCCTGGTGTAGGGCCATGGGTTAATGCACTGGACTGCAAGGTCGGTTTCAGCTACAGGGTCGGCAGTTCAAGCTCACCAGCCGCTCCTTGGAAACCCTATACTGACTCAATGGCACTTAACAATGCACGACAATACCACTCTCAAGGGTCATAAATTGGTACTTCAAAGATGTTTTAAAAACACCTCTTTTATGTATACAGGGTGGAATATATACAGCATACGAACAGATATATAAGGTAGCTGTAGTTTTAAAATGTCATGGGGAAGGTGAAACCGTAATTAGGAAAACATGTTCTAAAAAGGTTCCTTGTTGCTGTTGTTAAGTACCATCAAGTCAGGTTCCGACCCATAGCGACCCTGTATAGGGTTTCCAAGGAGCAGCTGGTGAGCTTGAACCACCGACCTTGCAGCTCAAATGGCTTTGCCGTCTGGTGCATTATAACCCACAGCGCCACACCAGAACTCCTTAGGAGGACAACAATGAGGTGGGGAAAGTGAGAAACACTAGCCAGCACAAATCTCCCTAAAGAATAAAATATTCTTCATGGGTGCAATTTGACCCCATGAGGGTAGTGGAGGATTGCAACTAGCCTCACCTACTGCCTCATATGGGCAGCGACAGGATCAGCAGAATGTCTCAGAGTTTCGTCAGCACAGTCAAGACGGACATTCACCACAGATAGGTGCAACACCAAGACAGGAAAACAGTATCTTTGTAAACAATATCAAAATACTTGAAAGAACTGGAGATCAACTATATTGAATTTACTATAATTGTTTAAGTGCCATGGTGGGAAGTGCTGCGCATAGGCGTTTTGAGTGAGTAAAAAGAAAATCTAATATACTAAATTCCTAATGGCAGTTTTACAGTTTTAATGGATTTAATTATCCAAGTTTCTAAGTGAGAGTGATTACATGAGACGCAGTCTATTTAACTTGAGTTAACTGGAAATTAGTTAAAGGGCCCTTTGAAAGTAATTGGTAAAATGGATTCAATTTAATATTTGTAACTTGAATCTAAACACTGAAGAAAAACTAAATCTGAAAATGTTACTTTAGTAAAACATAACATCAGTTGAGTATAAAATATCTGTTAATACTACTTTCTGAGAATGAAAGATGCCCTTAGCTATGCAAGAATAGCATGACATCAATTATGTATTACGTATGAAATACACATGTACACAGGCGGTAGGTATAGCAACATATTAACCATGGAATCGACTCAATGGCACTTGACAACAGCAACAACAACAACCTTTCTGATAAGGAACCCTGGTTGCACAGTGGTCGAGCCCACCTCTGCTAACTAAAAAGCTTGGGGGTTTGAACCTCTTAAGTTGCTCAATAGGAGAAAGGTGTAGCAGTGTGTTTCTATAGAGACTGGACACCCTATGGGAGCAGCACTTGTCCTCTGTCCCATAGGGTCACTATGAAGTCTCATCAATTGGACAACAGCAGCCTTGGGTCTGGTATCTTTGTTGTTGCTAAGTGCAATCCAGTTGGTTCCAACTCAAGGGTGCCCTAGGTACAACACAACGAAACACTGCCCAGTGCTGCACCACCCGTACAAACGTTGCTATGGTTGAGCCCACTATTGTAGCCCCTGAGTCACTCCATCTCATTGAGGGGCTTCCTCTTTGCTGAAGCTATGTTTTACAAAGCATTATGTCCTTCCCCAGGAACTGGTCCCCAGTAACATGGCCAAAGTACATGAGGTTAATTTTCAGTATCTTGATTTCTAAGGAGCATTTTGGCAGTCCAGGGTATACTCAGTTAAATATTCTTTGTCAACACCATGATCCAAATAATAATTCTTCTTCAGTCTCCTTTGTTCATTTTCCAGTTTTCCCTTGCATATGATACAACTGAAAATACTGATTTCAGTCAAGCTCACCTGAGTCCTCCAAGTCACGTCTTTACTTTTTTAATATTTAAAAGGATCTTTTTAAGAGGTTTGCCCAATGTACTACTTCATTTGATTTCCTGGGTACTGATTGTGAATCCAACTAAAATGAAATCCTTGACAACTTCAATCTTGTCTTCATTTAGCAGCAATTGTTTTTTAATTGATTATCTTCATAAAATTTTACTTGTGTATGGTATTAATGACATTGTTCTATACCTTCTGCAGTTGTTGGATCACTTCCTTGGAATGGGCGTGTATTTGAATATTTTCCAATCGACAGGCCAGGCAGCTATCTGTCTTCCAAATTTCTTGGCACAAACAAGTAAGCACTTACAGCATTGCATCCATTTGTTGAAATGTCTCAAGTGATATTTCATCAATTCCTGGAGGCTTAGTTTTTGCCAAATCCTTCAGTACGCCTTGGATGTCTTCCTTCAGTATCATTAGTTATCTTTAGCCAACAAAATGAGTGAATATCCTTTAAGTTTTTCTTTACGGTTCTCTGTATTTTCCAAATATTTTTTCAGTCTATTTGTGTTAAGATGTTCCTCTATACTAATACCTTGTTAACTCAATAGACTGAAGTCTCGGTGTGACCCTGTAAGATAAAACACTGAACCACAAGGTCAGTATGAACCCCAAGGTCAGCAGTTCAAACTAACAAGTCACTCCTTGGAAATCTTACACTCACTAAAATCAGAACTGACTCAATAATTTAACATCAACAGCTCAATAGATTACAGAAGTATTACCTTTATATTAAAAATAATCTGTCTGGGAGACCACTTGTCAGCACCTGACAACAACATGACCTTTAGTTACAGTCTGAGTCAGAATTGACTCCTCAGTAACTGTCAGAAGCTGCCTACGAGGCTGAAATGGGTATTAACTGAATCCATTCAGAGGAGCCACTTAAGAACTAGTGAATTATTTCCAAAAGATCAGACACTGTAAACCTTACAGAGCACAGTTTTACTTAGATACATATGTGCTGCTATGAGTTGAAAGCAATGGTAAATGTTTTAAGTTTATAATAATGTACTGCTACTGGTTCATTAAGGAGCTCTGCTAGCGTAGTGGTTATGAATCGGGCTAGGAACCGCAAGGTCAGCAGTTCGAAACTACTAGCTGTTCCATGGAAGAAAGATGAGGCTTTCTGCTCCCGTAAAGATTTACAGCCCCAGAAACCCTGTACAGGGTCGCTATGGGTCAGAACCGACTCCACGGCACATAACAACAGCAACTGGCTCATTAGTTATGATACATATGCCATATTTAATTAACATGCTAGCTGTGTGAGGGGCATATGGGAACACAACACTATCTTAGCAACTTTTCTATAAAATCCTTTTAAAATACAAGTTTATTTTAAAAAAATTTAAATCCTCAAAAAAAAAAAAATTCTGCCTGGGAGGGTTATAAATGATGAGTTTGACTATTAAAAAGGCTAAATATTCTAGTAAAATATTGTTCAACAGAAATATAATAAGACTTACATTTTAAATTTTCTAACAACCAGATTTAACAGGTTAAAAAAAAAAACAAAACTGAAATAATGTATCTAATTTAACCCAATATATCCAAAGTATTACAAGTTCAACATGCAATCAATATAAAAAGATGAGTGAATTAAGTTTTTGGAATCTGGTCTGTATTTTCCACATCAATGCAAACTAGGCATATTTCAAGTGTTGAACAGCCATAAGGGGCCAGTGTCTACCGTGACAGAGCGACATAGAATGTAAGCAGGGCTAGAAACCAGTGAATGACCATGATGCATATAAGCTAGAGCTACAAAAGCAGGCTGACTGCCAATTATGATGGTTAGTACATACCACTAGGAGTCCTGGTTTGGCGCTGTGGGTTAATGCGTTGGGCTATAAAGTCAGTTTGAACCTCATGGTTGACCAGCTCACCAGCTGCTCCTCAGAAACCCTATACAGGGTCACTATGGGTCGGAAATGACTCAAAGGCACTTAAAAACAACAACATATACCACTAAAGAGTTTAAAGGTTATTACCAATGAGATTCACACCAAAGATTATAAATAGGAAACCAGCATACTCAGATTTCAGGAAGTTATTTTACAAATTAATTCAAGCACAAAGGTGTGAAGAAGAGAGTAACAAGACAAGAGAACAAATGAGAGACGATGAAGGATAAAACTGCAGGAATAAGGGGCAGAAAGG